ATATATATATATGATGGTATCCCAAATGCAAGTTACTTTGAGCTACCAGGAGTAAATCAGTCTCTCTGGGAGGCAGAAGCAGGAGATCACCGCAAGTTTAAGGCTGGTCTGTTCTGTGTCACAGGTTCCAGGACAGCTATTGTTACATGTAAAGATGTGAGGGGAGTGGGTCTTCTCCACACTCATGTGGATGAACAGGAAAGGCAAAGCAGGCTGTACTTAAGTCAAAACCTTTAGAGTAAATGAGATTATCTGGATGATTATTTATATAACATATATAACTGATCAGAATGAGTATTTAGAAAGAAAAAGGGTATTTACAGATACTTTCAGTAATGCATGTGGGTTCAAATGTCTGGTTATCTTCCCTCTAATAAAATTGTCTAATAATTTCATTCCACTGTCTAAACCTAGAAATCACATAGATTTCATTATGGTAAAAGAGAAATTAATCCTAGTGTGTAAAACAGTTTTCTTCTGTGAATAAAAATGCAGTGGACCCCAGAAAATTAGGAGCTTTTAGTATTCTTATGCAGAAGAAAGTGTTAGGTGGAGTTCCCTAGAAGGGAAAGAGAAGAAGGATCTCAGCAATTTTTCTGTCTTTTCCATGCCAAGGTCAGCCAAAGTCTGGGGAAGAGATAAGGCTGGTGATCTGCTCTTGAGGCTGAGAGAGTGACATACCAATGCTCTCCCTTGTGAGAAGCAAATTGACAGTTCTGAATCATTCCTAAGATGTTGAATGCTAAATATGTAAATAACATCACAGCCTCTCTGAGTTCCCCCCCACCCCAGTCTGAGCCTTTCCTCTGGAAGTCTGTCTTTCCTGGCCTCCTTACCCTGTCTGGTGTTTACCTGCCACCCTTCCTGATGTGACTCATGCTCCACACCACCCCTTAGCTACGGCAGTTCACAAAAAGGTCCATCTCAGTCAACTGGTTTTCCAACCTGTGGTTGTATGTTAGAATAATCTAAAACAAAAATAAGCTAAGCTCTCAAAAACAGACAGAAACCACATCTGTGTGTGACTGTTACTTACCTTTTTCTTGGATGCCTCTGACTTTTTTGACATGTTCTTCAGCTTTTTATGCAGATGATTAAGGACCTGCAAAACATAACCAGATAAAGCAGGTTAACTTCAGATCGTACTTACACACTGCCTCTTTTTCAGTGACAACCACTGAGCTTGGGTATGGTAATGCTAGTGCTTATAAAAGAGCAAAAATAGAAATGCATTTTAGAAAAAAAAAAAACAGCTCTGAATCCAAGTAGCTGAATGAGTTCAGAAAAGACCGACCACACCCAGATGTGGATAGAGCCATAGAGAACAAAGCCATAGAGAATGTAAAACAGGTTCAGAGTTTCTTGAAAACAAAAATCCTTTCCTGAGGTGGGGTAGGGCTTATTCATGCAGTCTCCTGTTCTTACTGTCTTTCTTCTGTCTGAGAATCCACAAGCCTAAACTCACCAGGTCCTACTACATACATGGGATCCAGAGGCAGCTCAGAGACACATTGAAAACTAGAGACCCAGGCTGTGGAGGTTCAGCATCCAGAGGAGAAAGCCAACTGCACAAGTAAAAGAATACATCTAACAGCTGTTTGGTGTGGTTGCCCAGTCGTGAGACACTTTCTGGTGCTATCCACGAACCACTCCCATTTCATGTCTCTAGGACAGTAGTTCTCAACCTGCAGTTTACGACCTCTTTTGCAAACCTCTATCTCCAAAAATATTTACATTACAATTCATTAACAGAAGCAAAATCACAGTGGCGAAGTAGCAACAGAAATAATATTATGGTTGGGAGGGGGTGGTCACCGGAACATGAGGAACTGTACTAAAGGGTCACAGCGTTAGGAATGCTGAGAACCACAGCTCTAGAGCAAAGCATGAGCCAGCAGGGTTCCTTTCATGAATAATTCAAATACCGTGTGGTCTTTAGACAATCCCCTTAGCAATTCAGCATTGCTGGTGATTTTTTACTATCCTATGGGTTCTGCAATTACCATACCTGTCAAGGAGATAAGTTAGCTTTAATAAATTGAGAAGTCCCTTCTGCTCTCTTCCCTCTGACATATATTGGAGAAATGATGTGAGTATAACCGTTGCTATCATATATAGGAATTCACAATCTGTGCTTTCTCCACAGTGCCTACCCTGCAGGGATGGTCCCAGGTCTATTTTCCTATTCTGGTGGAGAACGTAGAGTAAACAGCAAGGAGCTTGGAATGGACTAGACTTGAAGTGCTTGGGGAGTGGATGCATGTTCCAGCCACTTGGATGTTTCCCTCCAACACCACGGCATGGAAATAACTTAATCAAATTGGCCTTACTGCCGAAGTCTGCTCCACTCAGCTCCAAGCAGCACCACCCATCAGTCATGTCCTAATTGAGAAACCCTAGGGTTCAGTTACCAGCCTTCTCTACCCAAGCACCAAAGCAGCCACCCCAGCAGCCATCTCCAGTGTGAATTTATGTCTTCAGACTTCTTGCATTATTGAGACATTTCTTGCTGCCTGAAAATATGCCTGAAAATATGTCACAGCCAAATGAGTCTTTGCTTGCTATGGAAGCAAGTGGATAACTGGCTGATACACCAGCATCTGAGTAGTTCTGTTCAACCCACAGAAAGTACAGAGAAGTTTTCAATAGCAGCAATCTGAAAAAAACTTGTAAGAGGAAGGTGGGGGCTGGAGCCTGGAGCCTGCTGATGGAATCAGGACTGACCAGCTAGCTGACAATGGCCAGCATGCTCGTGAACCCCTATCAGTAACAGCAGTAGCAATATTCATGTCACTTCTTCCCAGTATGACACTGGCAAGAGAGCATAATGGCTTCTTGGCAACTATTCTTTCTAGCTAGAAACATATCTTTTGCATTGACGTTAATATTTGCAAACTTATTAAAACTAGCTTATTCTCTCTGACAGGTATGCTAAGTGCAAAACCTGGAAGATAATAATGAGTCACTAGCGAGGCTGAGTTCCCAAAGGAAGTTGTCTAAAGACCACAGATCACAATACTATGGGTCATGGAGGGGAAAGGACAGGGGAGATACCAAGAGAATCTGCTAAAGGACATGAGCATCGGTGGCCAACTTCTTGGCGTTACTTGGGTTTAAACAATCAGGTCAACTACGTTGGGTCCAGTTCAGCAGTTTGAAGCACTGAAGAATATTGAATTTTCTGAACCATCCATGGAGTTGATCCTAAATGTGTTTTTCTTAGCTCTGATTCTCTTCTGTATCTCAGGCTATGAGTACGCAGTGTCATGTTGTGACAGATCTTAAGGTCCTACCATTGAGGGACACTGGGATCAGTTATGACTTCATCTCTTAAGACAATGAGCATAACAGGAGTGTGTCCTCACTTCTGGCCCAGGAGGGCTCTAAGCAGGAATGCATGCTGAGGGAAGAAGGCAGCAGGTAAGAAGCCTACAGTACAGAAAGGAAGATCTTCAGAGCAGCAGGCTACTTGAACTCAAATATGCCCTGCAGGGCCTTTCAGGTGCAAAGAACTGTCTCATTAAACATGGATGAAAAGATCATCCCAGGAATGCAATTCATTCATTTATTTTTAAAATGAAAAATCTAAAATACATGTTAATTAAATACAAGGTAATTAATTTCAAGTGCTCTTCTGGCTGCCCATGACTTCTTGCACTGGCTGACAGCCTCATCCTTGGACTTACACAGCCAATTCGGCACACCCAACATGAAGTTTCAAAGTCATTAGCTAGATGGCACAGCTGAGTGCTGGACAGAAAAATGGCAAGTCCAAGTACCTTACTTCCATCAATCAAGGGCCTGGGATGAATTTGCAAACATTAACATTGACTCAAAAGATGCTTCCAGCTGCAATACTTGCCTCGACGCTAACTATTTCTGAATGAGAAATATTTAAATGATCTATTCATTAATTCTTAAGCTCTGCTTCTGTGGGACTTCTGTAGACTCTTTAATGACAAACTGTCTAGCCCTAAATGCTTACCTTTTTATTTCCACAAAGATTGAAATGTTTTGTTTCTGTTGTTGTTGCTGTTTTTGCCCAAGGACTTTGGAGGAAATGAAGAAGTAAATGTTTCCATTTCAAGGCGGCAATTAGGAACTTAAGGAACCAGTATTTTAATTGTGACTCTGGGTCCCAGCTTCTTGTCCTCCAGGAATGGACTGTCACCTTCTGAAACTTCCTCAATCACTTAACAGCCTTTCCATCTGGTCAGTCGTTGCATTGCTATGAAAGTACTTTTTCTTATTAATAAAATAGAGATAGCAGCTCCCACCCAGAGGCTCACTGGGCACATTCATGGATGTGTGCCCACACCCCACAACTCCAGGTGCACAGCAGCTTTTGCTTTGCATTTGCTACTTCCAACTAGCAACGCTGTCATTGTGAGTTTGATCCAGTGCACTCACTGAGGTGATACTGTCATTAAAAAAAGACACAATCTGATCATATAAAGGTGGGAAAGTTGGCCTCTTTTAAATGTGCTTTTCTGGGGCAGATTTGCCTTATGAGTGGAACGTAAGAGACCGTTGCTTTTCTACACAGGAGGCTATGTATGGTCTTGCAGGCACAGATAAATAGATTGGGAGTCAGGGAAGGATAAAGTTACATGGAAATCTTAGAATTTGCATTGTAGAGATTTTCTACCCATGCTTGACTGGTTCTGATAGTACCCTGAAAGGAAATATTGTGACAGAGGTTACTCCATCAACCACATCAAGTGACCACCAACAATACATTCTTAGTTAATAAATCATCAATAAGTAGTACCTAAGAAGTTTAAGTACCTATTGTTTAACATAAATGCACAGTGCTCTGTAATTCCTTAGGAACTGTGAGCCACCAGTCCTTTCTGATACACGAGGCCAAGATAAGCACTCAGCTCCCCCAGCTGTGTGTTCTTGCTTGCTGTCTAGCACTGTCTATATAACCTTCCCTGGAGACAGCACTTGTCTTCCTACCCATAGTTCTCTGAGACTTCAGTCAGGTCTCTATGGGGAAGAAGAGCTTCCCACTTGGTTTTTAGAACGCTAAACTAAACCCCAAAGCCCTGGACCTGATGTGCGAAGACTTACAGAGTCTGGACTCTGAAAACCTGCTGAGGTGCAGGAGCCAACGTGCTTTGTTGGAAGAACATGGCTCCAGGGACCACCACACTAGAAGGTCTCAGCAGAGAGCTAGGAGGGGTGACTAAAATCCACCATGGCTCATGGCTGGCTCTTAGAGGGAGCACAAACTCTCTGCAGCTCCCTTTGTCCCATTGTGTTAGTTTCTTGGAGCCCACAGATCTTGTTTAAAAGGTGCTGAAACTAAGGGGGCTCTAACCTTTTGAGCAGCAGATTCAACACATACAACTGCCTCTCTGAACCCTGAGGCAATCAGGAGCAGGAGCAGGGCTGTGATGCCCTTGAAGGAGAACAGAACTGCAAACTCCATGCACTCTCCCATCCCCACTATCTCTCAAACTCCGAGTTAACTTTTTTGCACCACAAATAATGTTGAAGCAAGCTAAGAAAAAGCGAAATGGAAAGGAGTATGGAGCAGAGGAGTGGGGAGGAGATAATGAAGTTTCCTCAGGGTCAGGGGACACTAAGAGCCTGGCCAGCACTCCCCACTCACCTTGGCATAGCAAAAGCAGATGAGCAGTAAGGGCAGAAGGTAGCCAAAGACGAAAGTGCACACCACATAAGCCTTCTTGTGGAGCTGGTTGGGCCACTGCTCCCAGCAGAAGGTCTGGTTGCTGTCCCGATGGAAAAGGCGCTGGTGGTAGGCCACCGGCGAGGCCATGGCGATGGACAGCGCCCAGATGAAGCCCACGCCCAGCAGCGCGTTGCGGGACACCCTGAGGGAGGAGGAGCGCCGCGAATGCACAATGGCCACGTAGCGATCCACAGACATTGCGGCCAGGGTGAAGATGCTCACGAGCATGGACACGGTGAAGAAGTAGTGTATAAACTTGCAAATGAAGGCGCCCAGCACCCAGGTGGGCAGCGCGTACACAGTGGCCTGGAAGGGGATGCAGAAGAGCAAGTAGGCCAGGTCTGCGATGCTCAGGTTGAGGATGAACAGGTTGGTGGTGCTGCGCGGCTTGCCCGGTTTGCTGCGCGCCAGCACGGTGATCACCAGGCTGTTACCCAGCACGCCCATCGCGAAAATCAGGCCAAACACCACCAGCGTGATGAAGTTCTCCACACCGATGCCGAAGAGCGGTCTGGACTCCAGGGCTGGAGGCTCTGGGTCGCTTCCATTCCCTTCAGTGAGGTTCAGAGTAGCCAGTTCCATCACTTACTGGGACACCCCCTTGGGGCGCTGTGCAACGGACCGGAGTGCCCTGGGGAGTTGTGCCAGTCAGGGAAAGCAGGCTCTATAGGTAGCCTAGGGTCACCGGCTGGCCCAGGACAGCGCTAAGAGAGTGCGCCTCCAGCTAGTACCTCTCGAGACCGGCAAGACAGCAGGGGACAGCGACCCAGGTTGTGCCTGGTCACACTATCCTCTTGCCTGGTCTGGCTAAAGAGGAGGCGGTGCTGCAAGTCTGGAGCTGATCCTTTCCGTGCGGGGGCGGCAGCCTCCAGAACACAGAGGTACCGGTCTAAGCGACTCCCCTTGCTGGCAGTCAGCAAGCTGGGCGGGCGGGCAGGACTCCTCCGCAGCTATCCGCAGGCGGAGAATCTTCTACGCTGTTATGGGTTCCAATCCCTTGCCCTTTCTGAGCTGCGTCCCCTTGCTCTCAGTGCCTTGAGGTAGCACCTGTTGCTTTGAGCCTCTTCTTCCCGCCACGCTCCGCAGAGCCCAGTGACGCACACCTTCAATGGTGAAGAGGGTCGCTGAGCTTTCCTCACTAAGATCCACCTCCTTGCCCCGCTGGCGCTGGCGTTGGCGCGGGCGCTGGCGCTGGCGCTGGCGCTATGGCTCTCCCTCCTGGTCCCAGGTCCTCTGCAGGGCGAACCTCTCTCACGGATCCCCAGTGGTCGGCAGAGATTCTGCAGTACCTGAGGGACTGTGAGTATTCAACTGCGTCCCCTCTGTGTCTCCTCAACCAGATAGGTGGCAGCCCACTTCCTTGCTGGAACTGAGGCGCCACTCTACGTGCTGCCCCGCTACCCCTCTGGTCCCTGAAGGTGACTGTTGGCGCTGGGAGCCAAGCTGGGTGCGCTCCAGTGTGTGCAGGCTGAGGTGACAAGCTGTGAGGTCCTCCTACCAATTGGTACCTTTGGTCTTTCCCGCTCCCGGCAAAAGCAAAAATAAATCCCACGAAAATCAAAGGTTGTTACTGTTACCGGGATTTTGTGACATTCTCTGCCTCGCTCCCTCCCTCGTCAGTTACAAGCTAGGGAGTGAAGAGGCAAGAAAGAAACAAGCGCAGGCTGTGCGAGTTTTCTTCACCAGCGTGTCCTGCGCACGCTGCTCACCTCGGGGATCCATCATTTCCACTAGACATTACTCATCGGAGTGACACAAACGGAAGCCTTGACGAGTGAAGTGTTTGTGAAGAGTCATTTGACTGTGTTCAGCGGCCGCCCTGTTGAAAAGGGGGGCACACCAACTATGAACCGCTGCTTCCAGTAGTTCAAAAGAAAGACCTGCCCTTGCATGTAGGTACTGGTAACTACATCGCTTTCCAAACCGCCAGCGTCCTCCAGCGGTGAGTGACCACTGCTAGACGCAAGGGGAGAGGCACGAAGGGTAAGACAGGGTGTCCCTGGGGAAGCTCTGTGCCAGTGCAGGTAGCACAGTCCAGCCCTGCAGGCAAGTATGCACAATGGTGAGGCATGAGCCTTTACCTGGGAGAGTTTAGGGACCAGATGTACCTCGTTCCTCCCCCCTCTCCAGCTCTCTTCTTCCACACTGCCAGGGACACTCTGATGCTATGCATCACGTACCTGCTAGTCCTTTGCTCTTGTGCTTAATACAGAGAGCTCCCTTACAAAATGATTATGTATCCATCTTAAGGAGAGTGGGACTGTCAGTTGTTACTAGCGCTCATCTAAGCATCCGAGAGCATCCTTACCTCCCTAGGAGGATGGAGCTGGGTTATCAGTTGTCTTGCCTTTCTCCCCAGCAATGCTCTGTGTCCTAGAGCTTCTCAGAGTTCTGTTCTGTTGACAGCTCTGCTGCAATGAAGGTCATGTGGAATAGGACTTGGGGGAATGGTTTAGCCATGGGGTTTCTATTTTGTTTTATTCTGAGGTGTGTGTATGTGTGTGTGTGTGTGTGTGTGTGTGTGTGTCTGAGAATTGGTTGGACTTAGTGCCTCAGACATGTTGGACGAAGACTCCATCCGTGTTCAATATTCCCAGCAAGGATTTATGGGGATTTGGCTGTTGGTTTTGTTTTCATGTGATATAAACTTTGTACTGATGAATCACTATTTTGTGTATATATGTGATCGTGTGTGTATGTGTGTGTGTGCATGTGTGTGTGTGCCTGTATTTATGTGTGTGAGTGCATATGTGTGTGTGACTCTGTGTGTGTGCCTGTATATATGTGTATGAGTACATATGTGTGTGTGACTCTTGGTGCACTCGGACACTTGCACGTGCATGCACTCGTGCAAGCACTGGAACTCATGGTGGTCACAGTCACAGGGAAACTTCCAGGTGTTACTTCCCTCTTACCACCATGGGCTCTGGGGATAGAACTCAAGACACCAGATTTGCTTGGGAAGTGCCTTCATGCCCTGAGACATCTCCCTGGCCCTCTTCGAACTGTTTTTGACATGGGAAGCCCATTATTTCATGCCCCTGAACCCATCACTCAGCTTAAAATACTCTAAAAACTCATCAATATCCTTGAAGTCATTTCAAATACTTGTCTAATCACAATCTCCACCACAGCCACCTAAACATATGCTTGCTGCTCCTTTCCAAATGTACATATGATATACGCATTTGTCCTTAAATAGTAGTCTGTGATGGGCTTGGGGGTGTGCTGGCTGGTTTTGTGTGTCCATTTGACACAAGCTAGAGTCATCAGAGAGAAAGGAACCTCAGTTGAGGAAATGCCTCCATGAGATCCAGCTGTAAGGCATTTTCTCAATTAGTGATCAGTGGGGGAGGGCTTATTGTGGGTGGTGCCATCCCTAGGCTAGTGGCTATGGGTTCTATAAGAAAGCAAGCTGAACAAGCCAGGGGAAGCAAGCCAATAAGCAGCACCCCTCAATGGCCTCTGCATCAGCTCCTGCCTCCAGGTTCCTGCCCTGTGTGAGTTCCTGTCCTGATTTCTGTCAATGATGAAGTGTAAGCCAAATAAACCCTTTCCTCCCCAGCTTCCTTTTTGGTCATGGTGTTTTGTGGCAGCAATAAAAATCCCAAGACTAGGGGTTGGGCAGCAGGGGAGGTTGAGGTTTCATTTCTGCTTTAGCAGTGTGAGATGCTTTGCACTGCAATCTATATTTTGCCTTAGTTTGCGTTTGGCAGGTAATTCATCTGTTCTCATGTAGACCACCAAGGCTCAGTTCACAGCATTCTGTCGTTTGCTTTCTTCCCTCTTCCTCTATACTTCAAACTCTTCAGAGCAGTTCATAAATGTAAGACTCCCGGACCCAGAATGCTCATCTGTTTCTTAACTAGTGAGTTTGGCCCATGTCTATTCCTTGCTGTCACTGATCCAACAGTTGGTTTGTTGACATTTCCTGGACACTTGGCATTTCTGTTCTGTTTCCTACAAGCTGCTCCCTCTGCTGTTTTTCTGCTGGAATGTTCTAAGGCCCCTCCAAAGAGCTTCCTCCCTGACTTCTGCAAGATTCTGCGCCAAGAATCTTGCTCACAGGGATTTCTCCTGACCCTCCTAATGCTGTTTCTCTCCCATGCTACTGTGTCCTTGCCTTACCTTTCTTCCCTGTTTGCAATCTTTGCCACATTTCATGTTATGCTGTTACATCTTTTTAGAAGCCTTGACTGGGTACAGCCCTTAAAGAAGAATGTTGCCTTTACATACAGAAGACAGGGATGGTTAAAGACAGCATGAAAAAGATCAGAGAAGGCCCCAAGAAAAGACAGAGAGAGAAAGAGAAAGATGAGAGCTGGTACAAGAATTGGTTTTCAACCTCTCCGTGATTGTCAGCCCTACTTCCTCCCATCTTGGGACCATTAATTGGGTTATTTTTGCTTATTTCTTTTGGTCCCTGGGCCTTAAATAGGCTGACTAACTTTGTGAAACAACAGATAAATAATTTGGTAACAAAACCTATTCAGATACATTATCATAAGTTAGCTATGGAGGACCACAAGACTCAAGATGAGGTTGTTACTCTATCCAGGGTGTTCCCAAAACCCATCTCCACCCAAGCTAAAAGAGGGGACTTCCGCCCCTAGACCAAGCAGAGAGGGGCCACCAGAACCCACCCCCTCTGACTGGCAATCTGAATTCTTGCTTAGGCTGTGAGGCTAAGCACTGCAAGGGAATATAAATAAAAGTTAAACTATCACTCTGGGTTCCCTGAGGGACAAGCCTGACTGCATAGGGGTTGATGTCAAAAGTATCCCCTCTCCAGGAAAAAGACATCTGGATGGGTATGGCCCTCATGCCTCACTGGACAACGACAGGGGTACCAGAGCCATTACAAAGTCCCCTTCAAATACTGGAGGTCAGGCCTCTATCCCCACCTTCGAAAGATTAGAATTGCCACAGCCCTTCTATACTTAGAGAAGGGAGGAGATGTCAGGGGCAGCCCTGCTTACACACTGAAGGCCTAAAATCAGCCATAGGTCTAAAATCAGCAATAGGCCTGTCACACATGTATACAAACACCAAGTCTTGGGTCTCTGTGGGAAAACATTGAAACAGATGGCTATAAGCTATTTTAAACAGGCAGCTTTTGTGGAAATTTACCAGCCTGAGTAGTCATAGACCTTGTAAATAAGTAGCCTTGGCGGATAATACCAACTTAGATAAGGACAAGTGAATCATAGCCAAAGTCATAGTGACTTGTCCCCTGAACCTTCACCCAAAAAAATACCCTGTTCTGAAAGATATCTGTACTCCTCCTGAACACCCACACTCCAGTGTCATCCCCTTCCCCACGTTCTGCCTTTTTGTGTTTATAATCCCTGTGTGAATAAGTAAAAATTACAATTTGATTTTAAAAAACTAAATTAAAATAAATTTAAAAAGAAAGACAAAAACTAACATAACAAGAATAAATTGCATAACAGTATAATAATATGTATAAGCCAGCCTTTAAAAGCTGAACCAGAAATTAAAAAAAAAAAAAAAAGAATTTGCTTGCCTTGCTGTCTTGCTGTATATTTATATAACCCTGCCCCCACTCTCTGAAATTCTCTACCCTCATTCTCTAAGGGTCTACGAGCTGCTTGGATGGGTAGGTGGGTGGAGCAGAAATTAGTCACGCCTACTCCCAGCAGGCCTTGCTTCACTCGAAAGGCAACTCCCAAACGAAAAGTTCATTTTTCAGTCCCACAAAGGATCTGCCACCATGAATAATTGTCCTCCACACAGTGACTCTTTACTGTGATAAAAAGGCTTTTGTAAGTTCACAGAGGCTTT